ACACTAATCCTGGGGAGACTTTTCTCTGTCAGAGCCTCCCGCCTCAGCCTCTGCACCGTGGCTAGAGGAGGTGGTTTAGCGTAGCGTGGCTCAGAGCACAGACCCTGGAGGCTGACAGCCTGGGCTCAAATCCTGGCTCCACTGCTTCCTACAAGTTACTTCCCCTCTCTGTGCCTCAGTTTCCCTCTCCATAGAATGGGAAATCACGGACTTGTTGGGACGACTAGGTGAGGGGGTGAAGCGCTGCCCCCGAGTCGGGGACACCGTGGGCACTTGGAATCATGACCGCCGAGAGCGCCCCGCGGCCGACTCCAGCGGCTCGTTCCCCTAGACCGTCCTGTGAAATGTCTGATTCCCCAAAACCTCACCGTGGAATTTCTGCCCCGAATTGGATGGGGAGCGTCTCGGTGAATTTCCTAGAGGAAGTCCACCTGGGCTGTCCCACAGGACGCCCCGGAGCACGCTCACTCTAGAATGAATGTGGCAGAGGACCTCCGGGGACCCGGGGCTGCCGAGGGTGTTCCTCTGGGATGTTGGCTTCAAGGCGCCCTTCGCACGTGTGCAAAGGATGCACGGGGAGAACGTGCCTGAGCATGTGCACACGAGTCATCTGCTCGGAACACCCCCGCAGAGTCCAGTCTTCCTGCCTGCCTTCCTCATTCCTGCCTTCGTGCAGCCAGTGTTTGTTGACCATCTGCTGTGTGTCACAGACGAGTGCCGACGCCGGGGTCAGGGAAGGGCTCTCGACGACGTGGCGCTGCCGCAGAGACCTGAGTGAACCGTCAGCCTCTGGGGGAGAAGCCTCGGGCGGAGGGCACAGCCAGTGCACAGGCTTGAAAGGAGACGTGCTGAGCACGCTGGAGCAACAGCAGCTGTGTCTGGAGTAGGGAGAGGGAGGGGGTCGGAGATGAGGACACACAGGCAGGAAGGCCTGGTCATGCCGAAGACCTTGGAATAGCAGGTCGTGACTAGTACTGTGACAAAACAGTTAGGTAAGCTAAGGCAAAGACAGGGGCTTCTCTGGAGTGGAGCGGTGGGGAGGGTCTCTGGTGAGGTGACATTTGAGCAGAAACCTGTGTAAAGGGAGGGAGCAAGGCTTGAGGATGTGTTGGAAGAGCATTCTGGGAGAGGGCTCAGCAAGTGCGAAGGCCCTGGGGTGGGAATGTGCCTGGCATGTTTGAGGAACAGCAGGGAGACCAGGGTGACTGGGGTGGAGTGGGTGAGGGGTGAGCGCAGGGGAAATGGAGTTCAAGGGGGAGGTGCTGGCTATGTCGCGAAGAGTAAGCAGGTCGGATTTTACTCTGAGCCAGGTGGGAGCCACGGGGGGTTGAGGGCAGAAGGGGAGCAGGATCTGATGCAGGGTGGGAACGGCAGCAGGAAGACCAGCATGGCAACGGGACCCATCCCTGCCCTGGGGTAGCCGGGTCTGGTTCTGGTCGGAGCAGATTCCAGGGGAGCCTGAAGGATTCCCCTGAAGCTGTACCAGGCTGGGCCCCGAGAGGGTGGTGCAGAGAGTGGAGGCCGGCCCCCCTTCCGGGAGGCCTGCGGGCAGCGGTCTCTTGTCCAGGGCAGGAGGATGTTCTCACTGACTCGGAGGAAACAGCACACCCCACATCAAAAGGGGGCTGGGTGGCTCCCACGCTCGGGTGTCGTGGGAACCCTGCCTCCTCGGGTTCTCGCGGGGGGCCTGCCGATTGCGAGAGGCTGGAGCCGCCTCGGGGCTGTCCCCCAGCTCGCTGAGGGTAAATAAAAAGCAGTCCCGCCCTCGCGCCCCACTCAACCCTCTTCCCAGGAGCAAGACTGGCTCTTGGGACCCAGGGCTCTGTGGTTTTTAAGGGGTGCCAGAAATTGTAAGGCAGCCGAGAGCTAAAACCTTCCCTTTCTGGGGTACCCCGTTGCCTAACTCCCTCCCAAAGGCTCAGCCAGACCAGGGCCACAAGCTGGACCAGGCTTGGGCACCATAAGACCTGGGGTAGCAAACTGTCCTTACTAAATGGTAGAGACAGCCTGGAGAGCTGCTGAGGATTCTGCTCGGCTTGAGGGTACGGTGATGGATTAGTGATGTCTGCCACAGGTAGGAGCCAAGAAGTGGTGGTATGCACGCTAGATAGTGTTCTTTACACCCATTTTAAAGATAGCCCTGGGGAGAAGGAGGGATGCTTTCTTATGAGACAGAAGGGAAAGAAGGGGGTGGGGAGACCTAGGTATGTTGAGGACCTTAACAGTGTGTCTACACTAGAAGTGTTTTGAAGGACAGGGCAGGGAAGAGGTATATACCTCTGTGCTTTCCTGTAAGAGTATGGGGAGGGGTGAGATTAGGGTGGTGATACCCCCCCAGGAAGGTTCTGGAGGATTATGCAGACCCCGCGAAGGGTCAAATGGATACTCAGCCCTCATCTCTTGGGTCCCAGCTGCTAGAAGCAGAAAATCAGGACATGTCCACTCTCAACCAAACTATAAGCTTTACATGTTTTAATTCATTGAACCCTCACAAGACTCTATCCCCGTTACAGATGGGGAAACTGAGGCACTGAACCTTCCCCCCACACCTCAACTGACCAGGCCCTGGGGGGTAGCTGCCCCCCCATTGCACCTCCCTCAGGAGCTGTGTTCAGTGACTCCAGGCCACCAAAGTAGTCAGTGGTTCTGATGTCCGCTCCAGACCCCCCGTCTCCTCAGGGGCATCTGGGAGGAGAGTCCCGGCTGACCGGGGGTCAGCCTCTGCTGCTGAGCAGCCAGAGTGAGGGGCTGTGTGCAGTGCGTGTCATTGTGCGTGTGACTCTGCAAAGTGTGGGCCTCCCCGGCTGAGCGTCTGTTTGTCAGTGTGGGGGAGTGTGGGTCCTAGTGCGTCCGCGTGTGTCCCCATGTGCGAGTGGCGGGGTCCCTTTGCAGGCTGCAGAGTTCTCGGTGCTTGGGGGCTCTGCGGTGCATTCCCTCCACATTTGCTCTCTGCTTTTCCACAGCAAAGCGTGTCTGGGGACGGGTGGCTGTGGCCGGGCTGCACTGCTCTGCACGAGCTGCCTTCTCTTGTCCAATTGCATGTCCTCGCAGTGTGTGCACATGTATCTCTGTGTGTGGCATGCTCCTGGAGGGTGTGTGTACGTGTTTGTTCTGCAGCAGTGTGTGTGTCTGAATCTATGCATGTTCGTGTGGATGTGTTCCCTGAGGCTTGTCTGTGTCTCTCTGTGTCTGTATATGTTCATGCTGTGCGTCCCTGGTGCGCGTGCGTGCGTGTTTGTATGTTTGCGTGCAAATGTGTGCGGCATGGTCTCCGAGTATACGTGTGTCTGTCTGTATCTGTACGCAGAGGGGGCTTCCGGCGTGTGTGTGTGCCTGTGTGCGCCTTTATCCATCACGTGTTCCTGGCGGGGGTGTGGTGTGTGTGTCTGTATGTGTACGTGTGTATATCTGTGTCTGTGTACTTGTGTGTGTGGCGTGTTCCCCACGTGGATGTGTGCCTGTGTATACAGGGCATGTTCCCGGTGGGGGGGGGGATGTTTCTGGACCCACCGCAGTCCCCCCAAGCCTGCCAAGTGTACCATTTGCTTGAAGCTGCTTCCCAGCCAGCTCCCTGGGGCCGACTGCGCCTGCCGGGGGCCGGTGACCAGGTGGCGCTGGCCGGGCAAGGGGGGCTGGAGCAGCTCCCTCCCCAGCTGTCCCTGCCGCCACCCTCCCTGCACCCCTCCTGGCACATCCCTCAGCCCCCAGGCTGCGCCCTCCTTCTCCTCGTCGGAACGTACCCATCCAGGGTTCCGTGCCCATCAGCAGCAGGACACCAGTTCCCCTCATAACCAAGCCCTGAGATCCGTGGAGACCCAGGCGGGCACACGGTACAGGTCAGAGTGGGCTTTCTCAGCCAGCCCTCCAGCAACACTATAGGTGAGGTACTGTTATCCCCATTTTACAGAGGAGGAGACTGAGGGTCATAGGGGTTAAGTGACTTGCACTGTAATACTTTGGTGGTTTCCTCTCCAGGATGGAGAGAATTCACACCCTGACTTAGTGGGCCGAGCTGCAGAGGGGAAATTACTCAGCCGGGATTACACGGCAGCAGTGATGACAGGGATGAGGACGGTTAATGCTCGTCGTGTCTTCATTTGGCACCAGAAATTGTGCTTTGGCTCTTGACGTGGAGAATTTCATTGACTTCTCACAGCGAACATGAGGAAGGTTCCATCTTATCCCCATTTTACGGATGGGGAAACTGGCTTAGCAGAGGTGTGGTCACCTGCTGCGTGTCACCCAGCTGGTTAGTGGTCGAGCTGAGGTGTGAAAGCAGCTCTGGCTGATGCCAAAAGCCACAGCTCTTTGAGGGGAAGGGCAAAGAGGGGAAGCAGGCTACGTTTTCCTCGGGCCTCTGCATTTGAAGAGGGGACAATACCTTAGGCACAGGAACTGACATCAGTAGATACTCCGGAGGGGAAAAAAGGTCATTATCAAATGTCTTTGGAAGACCTGGATGTACCATCGCTAACCGTATTTCCTTATGCAGGACTTATCAGAGCCTTTAATATGCTCATGTGTGTTGTGAATTTCCAAAAGGGAGACAGTGAAGTGTTTCCTAAATTATCTGGTCCCTGAATCCTCCTCTCCCGGAACCTTTTATGGGGATTAGCACTCTGTGTAGCAAACTGTGAGAGACACTAGAATGGCGAAATCACTAATAGTTGGGGTTCGGGCACAGCAGCCCATGAAAGGGAGCTGTTGGAACCGAAGTGCTCTCCCTACGAAGGAGGCCGGCTGTGGATGGGAAGAGTCGGTACCAAGTGTAGGGACCCATTCCGTTATAACAGGGCCAGAGGTCCCGGTCACACCCCACCCCATAATAGAAGGATGTCAGAGTAAGGATGGAGTTCCCTGGTGGTCATTCTAGGTGACCAGGAAAGGCCCAAAGGGGTCTGAGTATGCCCAGGAGCCAGAGCCAGATTGCTAACGGGGTCCCCGGATCCTTTAGTGTGGGGGGTGGGGTCCACCTGCGGCCTCTTCTCCTCTCCCCTCAGGGTCCCTGCGCTCCCGGTGAAGAACTTGAATGGAACCGGGCCGGTCCACCCGGCCCTGGCAGGTGAGGTCCCGCCCAGGGCGGGAAGGAAGGGGGGCCCGCAGCAGGCAGCCGCACCTGTCGGCCGTGACTCCGCCCCTTCCCGAGCTGGTGGGCGGGGCCCACAGAAGGCCCGCCCCTTGGCTCAGCCTAGTGGGCGGGGTCTGGGGAGGGGCACCACGTGTCCACCCAATGGCGGGAGGGCCGGGTGGGTGGGGCCTGGGCGGGCGCCCCACCCCCGACCGCTGCCACCCCGCCCCCAGGGATGACCGGGATCCTGCTGTGCGCGGCCGGCCTGCCCGTGTGCCTGACGCGGGCCCCCAAGCCCATCCTGCACCCGCCGCCCGTGAGCAAGAGCGACGTCAAGCCGGTGCCTGGCGTGCCCGGCGTGTGCCGCAAGACCAAGAAGAAGCACCTCAAGAAGAGTACGCCGTCCGCGCGGCCCCCGACCCTGGAGTTACCCCCACTAACCCTCGACTGCCACCCTGACCCCTCAATTCCAGTTGGTTCTTAGACTTACCGTCCCACCTGCATCTGAGCTCAGCTCCCGGCCCCTGACCCCATCCGCCACCAACTCCTATTACCTCTGACCTCCAGCAGCCCCTGACGTGGGCCTCCTGCCAGCCCCTAAGCTTCTGACCCCACCCCTCCGACCCCTGACCCCTCCTGAGCCAAGCCTTCAGGGGCAGACTCGGGACCCTCAGGCCCGCCCCGCTGTGTTCTTGCAGGTAAGAACCCCGAGAATGTGGTGCGAAGGTACATGCAGAAGGTGAAGAACCCGCCTGATGAGGTGAGCCCCGGGGGCATGGGGGGGTCCAGGCCTGACTGCTCCCCTCCCACGATGTGAATTCCTTGCGGTTCTGTGTGTTAACAGCCTCTTCTCCCAGTGTGTGGGTTGTCTTCTCACTTTCTTTACATGACTTTTGATGAACAGAAATGCTTAAGTTGAAAAGAATCATATTTATCAATCTTAGGATGGTCGACAGTTTTCGTATCTTATTTTCACCCATATTTTCCACCAGACGTGTTCAAGTTTTCCTTTTGATAGTTAAGCCTGTCATCCCCCTGGAGGGGTGTGAGGGAGCCGCTGCCATACATCTGAACTCAGTACCTGGGGTGCCGTCTCCTTTTGACAGATGGGTGCCAGCAAGCGGGGTGGTTTGGTGGCCTGGGGGCCTGGCTCCCGCTGAGGGGCAGTGCTGAGTGGGGGTGTCCGCCCCCCCCAGTGCTCAGTCTCCCCTTCTGCCCCCAGGACTGCACCATCTGCATGGAGCGGCTGGTCACAGCCTCTGGCTACGAGGGTGTGCTTCGGCACAAGGGCGTGCGGCCCGAGTTGGTGGGCCGCCTGGGCCGCTGCGGCCACATGTACCACCTGCTGTGCCTCGTGGCCATGTACTCCAATGGCAACAAGGTGGGCGGGGCGGGGCCGTGGGGGGGG